AGCATTCTGTCATAGCATTTTGTTTGGAACCATGTTTGGCATGCATGGTTGGTGACATAGCCTCTCTGACCAACTGCCACAGGACCTAAGAAAGAAAGGGCTCTCTGATTCTTTGCTCGAACTTTTACCACTGTTCCTCGAACAAGTTTTCTTGGTCATCTGGAGGCCTGGAAGGAAATGGACGAAGGTTTGAGTGAGTGGCAGGTCCTGGTCATCAATCATTGGTCTAATGCTGAATCTATTTCAAGAACAGAGCCATATCCTTAGATAATTGATAAAATCCATATATGCTAAAAGTGCAAAGGCCTAGAATAGATCGAGCATGCAAGGAACACTGTAACAAATGACAACTATTAATCCTGTTCTTCCTCATCCCTTTGATTCATAGTCTGAAATAACATGACCCATCTCCTAGTGAGGTGTTAATTGTACTGCTTATTTGTAGTGCAAATGATAGATTTAGTCACTGGATCACTGAAAACTTTTAGATATACTTCTAGCTATTGCTTCTATTGCTTGAGAGGAGAAACAAGCTGGGAGATGTTCTGCAAAGGGGCTCATATTTAAGAAGAAATCAAACATATATTTTATGAAAAACTACAATGCTTTGGACAACAAATACATATCTTTTCTAGAATATAAGTAAATTTCACGTTGATGGAGGGGTTTTTGAAGAAATGAGCATCAAGGAAGGGATTTCCTAAGAAGCTCGTGGGACAGGAAAGAAGCCAAGAATTTTTGACTAGAACACACACACACACACACACACACACACACACACACACACACACACTCCAATTAAATTCCTAAAAAACAAGCAAGGTACTGTGTTGAGGAGTTAGAGATGGACTACACTCTGCATCCCTCAGAAAGACAAAGTGGCTTATGACACGATCCAGAATCATTTGGACTGAGAGGAAGCAGAGTGACAAATGTACTCTGGAGGAGAAATCTAGCTAGCACAGATGGCAATAGGATGGGAAGTCCTGTCAGGAGAAGTGATATTTAAAAGGAGTCTAAAGAGGTTAGTTAAGTGTTGCCAGTGGGTGGAGATGTGTCTAAAGTCAATTGGATTGGCACCATTGGCCTCCCTCTAGAGAGGGTCGACCACAGAGAATGAAACACATGCGCTCGTGCTCGCGCACATACACAAGGACTGTCTATACTTTAGGGTCAACTGCACCCTAAGTGAGCACTTAGGCTAGCCCAGTATTCAATACAATATAGGTCCTCCACCCAGATTCTCAGCATGTGAGTTATTGTTTAACTTGACAGAGACATTAAGAACAGTTAGTGAGCACATCAAAATTCAATGGGTACATTAAGAGCAGAGACTTGGATATTTTACATATTCAATAAGCAGTATAAAGGCTGCTGATTTCCTATTCTATTTTTGCCCATGTTGAAGACCCTGAATTGTTTTATTCTATGTTTTCCTGTACTCACTTGTGCTGACTATATTCTATATGGTTTTGCCCAGGAGACTATCCCAACCTTGGGTTGAGATTTTTCTTATTTATTTTTTGGCTTTTTGGGTCACCTTGGGCAATGCTCAGGGGTGGTTCCTGGCTCAGCACTCAGTAATTACTCCTGGCAATGCTTGGGGGCCCATAGGGGATACTGGGGATCAGCCGCTGCAAAGCAAACACCCTACCCACTGTTCTAGAGTTGGGATTTTTTAGGGGGCAAATGCCTCACAGAGAATGAAGTGGGCACCCAGGAGAAAGAAGAACCTATCTGTGTAAAGGCAAATATGCTTGGACAGGTAAGATGTATTTGGTAAACCACAAGAATTTCAATTCACTGGAGTTTGGATCATGTGGTAGACTAAGAGAAAGATGGAAAGGTTATACTGAGCTTGGCCTCACAGGTTTTACATCAGGGAGTGCTATTGGAAGGCTACTTAATTTCTCTTACATCTTCATACCAACTTGTCTTTAGCATTTCTCCAGTGGTCATTTCCTATCTTTTTCTCTTAGTTGTTGTGAGATATTATAAATTTGGCATAGTGGAGTGCTCCAACCGAGACCAGATGGTCACTCAAGAGTGAGTGAGCAAAACACCCAGCTGCCTGGGCACAGGGGGAATCTCAGTTTACCTATTTTTTGCTATGTGTTAAGAATAAGCAATTTTACCTCCCTGGGTTTCACTTGCTCACAGGCAAAATAGAGGGAGTAATGATGCCAACTTCAGAAGTTCCTTTTTGAGGATTAAATAAACTGTGCAAGAAAAAATCCTTTGCATAGCACCTGATATCATAGGCACAAAGAGAGGAGTGACTTGAGATACAGACGTAAAGATTTTTGGGTACAGGACATAATGGATGCAAGGGAATCGTGGGACTGCTGGGTTGTCTTCCTCGAGGTCTTATGCTCCTTTATGGGACCAAAAAGGAAGTTTCTGTAAGCTTTCAGGTGACTGGTAGATAGTCCTCAGGTCACAAGACCTTCATTCCATTTGAAATTCTCTGTTTCTTTTTTGTTTCTGAATTCATAAATTTGTATTTTTTTAGCATCATGTCTGCAAATTGACATGTCTTTGCCTTCTTTCCCAAGTCCCGGAACACAGCAGGGCTGTTGAGAAAAGTGAGAAAATACATGTTAAGAAAAGTGAGAATACAAAAGAAACCAGATCAGCAGAGAAGAGCCTTTTGATTTGGGTTTGCACTGATGACACGGCTGCATGTGACTCACCAAGCATCCAATTTACAACTTTGCCCCTTAGATTCCTGGTGAGTGTCTCATGAGTCAAAATTATCTTTTGTGATTAACTTTATACAATGCTTGTGTGAACACCAGGCCCACCTGAGCAACTCATAAATACTTCAGAAGGAGAAATACAGCTTCCCTAACACACCCATACCAGTTTCAACATAGTAGCATTTCTGAATCCAACACAGCACTCTTATAATGTGTGTGATGAAAATGAATGACTCTAATTATACCTTATTAAGTCTTATTAATCCTCATTAGAACCCTATTATTCTTTATAAGTGGGTTACTGGGAAAAAGAAAAAAGAGATGCTGGTCAAATTCCGTTATATCCAACGAGGACGGGGTTAATTCATTCTTATTATGTGGGATTCAGGATATTGTCATGGTATACAGTACCACTCACAGCGTGGGTTTGCTTAAATGGGAAGGATAGACCAAGTGAATGGTGTTGTAACAGGATATGCTCTTTCCAATGCCCCACAACAAATCTCTTTTGAGCTCATATTTCATATTTCAAGTTATGTCAGATGCAAAGAGATGTATTATTTATTATCTTATGAAATATGTACTTTGGGGGGGGCATAGCTAGTTACTGTCAGGGCTTACCACTCCTCTCTGTGCTCAGGAATCACTCTTGGTGGGCTTGGGGAACCATATGGGGCTTCTGGGGATCTAACTGTGGTGAAGCGCTTGCAAGGCAAGCACCATAACTGCTGTACTCTATCTCTGGTCCGAGAATAGGTACTCTTAATCTTTTCTCTATTGCTATTTTTCATTTTTTTGTTGGTGTAAATGAGAAATGGCAAGGCAAATGAATTTCAGCTCTGCAATGTCTCAATTCAAAACAACCAATAGTTAGGTGTAATCATATATACTTCCACATTTACTTTTCGGCTAAAAATTTCGCACCAAACCCCAGGACCAAAGAGTTTGGTTTCAGAAATAATTATGTACATCTTGCTCAGAATGTGCATAATTGGGCATTAGGTGTTGCAGAAGTCAGAACTATGTTATGGGGGGAGGGGAGGACTGGGAGGCCTGGCTAAGGGGTTGAGCATTCAGGTGTTCAGGGGCTGGATAAGTAACTTCACCCAACTTTCTCCCCAAATGTTAAAGGGGCACAGCAATTTGTCCTATTTCATAAGAAGAGCTTGCAAACCTTTGAGCAAATGCTTCAGTGATGGCCTGAGGTGAGGAGTTGTGATTTGAGGTCTAGATAAAATAGAAATACAAGGAAACACAACCTTACAGCGCTATCCAGGCCACGCCACAGCCCTCGGTGGCCCTTTGATTGTGACTTTTCATGTTGCTCACGTTTACAAATAAGTAATTAGAAGGGGTAAAAAAAAAAATCCCACCCAAACCTTCCAAGAATAGGCTTGCCTTTATTGAAACCGGATCACCCAGTTCTCTGCTTTTTTTTTTTTCTTTTGGATGCCGGAAACAGTCAACTTTCTGGGTTTCTAGTGAAGGAAACCTTTAACTTCAGGGCGGGGATTCGTTTATTTGAGGAAAGGGCGGGCAAAGTTGTGCGGAAGCCAGAGCTCACCACTGCTACTCCTGCCTTTTCACAACCTTCCAGGAACAGGCTCAGGGGCCCCAGGGGAGGTGGAGGTCTGCGCCCGCGGTGGTCTGCCAGGCCCAAGGACACCTAACGTGGCTCGCTGCTCAGTGCCAAGGCGGAGTCAGGCACCCAGCTTTGGATCTGTGGGCGCGTGTGACTCTGAGCACGTCCCTTCTCCCCGCCGAGGGTCAGTTTGCTCTTGCACGAGGCAGACGGGTTTGAAAAGTCAGACTCGGCCAACTCTGACATGCAGTAGGATCCGAGCGCTGCGGGGAGCCCGGGGTGGGGCCCCCTCACCAGCGTGAGCTGGGAAGGGGATTCCTGGGCAGGATCTCGCCCGCTCAGGCCCAGAACGTTCCCTGGGCGCCTGGATAGCAGATGCCGCCCCCTCCCCCCACGCCCCCCCAATTTCCCGAGACTCGGCCGCTGGCTTCCTCCTTGTACGTCTCCTTCCTCTTCCTCCAGGGCAGGCAGAGACTCCACACCTCCCTCGCTCCCTTCCTCCCGGGCCGGCTCCCCGCAGCGGCCGCGCGTCTCCTCCTCCCCTTCCTCCGGGGAAACCGACGGCCAGCGGGGCGCCCACCTTCGGGCCGGCCCCCCGCCCGCGCCGGGCGAGCTCGGCGGGCACCCGCCTTCCCATACCTTACATGGACAAATGCGTGCAGGCAAAGTCAGGAATTCAGGCCCCTGACGTCAGCCTCCAGCTCTTAGGGCACCGCACGGGAGCCCGCGAGGAGGGGGTGGGGACGGACGGGAGGAAGGAGGGGGGCCGGCACCAACCAGCAGCCGCTCCAGCCCGGCCGAAGTTTCACTTTTTGTCTGTGGGTTCGCTCCCGGGGCCCCCGGCGAGCTTTCCCGGGACAAGTAGCTTAGGCGATCGGGGGCGAGAGAGCCGGGCGCTGCAAGGTAAGGGCCGGCGGCGCTGCCCGGGGCTGCCCGGGGTGCGGGGCGCGGTGCGGGGCGCGGGGCCGGGCCTGTCCCCCGGGAGTTGGGGACAATGGGAGGGGGAGTGCCCCGGCACCTCCTCCCTCGCCTCTGCCTCCGCCTCCCGCCGCCGCCGCCGCCGCTGCCCCGGCTACCTCCTCCCCGAGGTATTGTGGCAAATCGTCCTTCCTGGCCCCCGCCGCCACCTCCGCCCGCGGGCGCGTCGGGTACCCCCGGCCCCCTGGGGGGGAGGGGGGCGGCCGGAGCGCGGGGCGCGGGGGGAGGGGGGCGGAGCGCGCGCTCTGCTGGGGCCCGCGCTGCGGAAGTGCCGGCCAGGGAGCTGGGACCCCGACTTTGGCGGGGTGGGCGGTGGTGGGGAGCTTCAGAGCCGGGGCCGGGCGGGGTGCGAGTCCTCCACGCGCGCCCCCTGCCCCGGGGCTTGGCTGGGCGCGGAGGGGGCGGGGCCACACCCTGGAGCTTTCGCGGAATCACAGTTGTCACCGTGGAAGGGGCCTAGGGATCCTGGGAGCAGAGTCCCCCCGCACCACCCCCGTGTCACAGCTGAGGCCATCTGGGGCCCGGGAGAGGGTCGGGACCCCCACTCCCCAGGCGCTCGCTAGAGGCCCGGCCGTCCTGAAGAGAGCAGCCTTAGGGTCCCAGGGTTCCCGCTCCTTGGAGTGTCTGGAGCCCCCACGGTGGCTCAGGCCTTTTGTTGGGTCAGAGGCAGGTAGGGCCCGGTCCCCGCCTGCAGGTAGGGCCGGGGCTGCTCGGGAAAGTGCGCATTGCCCAGGGGACAGGCTCGGGGAAAGTTTTACAAGCACTCAGGGTAAGGACTTTGATTGCCTGGTCCCTGGGGAGAGGTCTGAGCCGGTCTTCCCAGAGGGCGCGGGTACTGCCCTAGCCCAGGGCTTGCAAGGATGGGGACTTTTCTCAAGCTAGTCAGGGCCTGGGAGGAATAAATGCCACTGGCGCGGTGGAACTGCAGACCCAGGCCAACTAAATAAGTTGTGGAGAGAGAAAACTGTAAATGTGGCTGCGTCTGGGGAATAGGGTTGGGGGGTGAGCGTTTAGGAGGTAAGCACTGGAATTGCGCCTGAGCACTTGGGACAGAGGAGTGCTTCGGGATATCCGGGTGCTGGCGGCACCCTAAGATCTTTATGACTTTCGCTCTTCCTTTCCCTCCCTTTCCCAGGTTTCCACTGCCTTCTCCAGACCTGTCACAAAGCTGAGAAACTTAAGGCCCGGCGCTTCTTTGTCGTACCATACTCGCAGACCTTTATTTCCAACTCCTCCCACTTTTGCTGCCCTCCTCATAAAACTCTTTTCTCACTAAGGGGTTAGTGAATTCTTGGTCCACCTCTCTAGGCACTGGTGTCTTTGAAGAAAGTCTTTCAGTTGTAGGGAGGGACACCAGCTAACTCCACCCTTTCCTCTCTTCTTTAGAGGTGGGAAGTTGGGCTTGGAGGTGGTGGATGCTAACGGGGTGGGGGAGAACTTTCTAATAGGATTCTTTATGCTATGACCAGTCTTTCTGTCCAGGGTTCCTGCAGGCACCAGGGGGTCGGTGGAAGAGCGCCTAGTATCTTTCATCAGGTGCCTATAAGGCAGTGCCCCAACCTCACCCACCTTTATAGTTTAGATGGGTGAGGTAGTTGGGGTTAGCTGCCCAGACGGTTGGGGTGCAGGCTGGACTTTGTTCAGGCAGTCTCCTGGGGTGTCTGTATTCAATGGAGGGTCATAAACTCACTTGGGGAAACTGCCTAGTTACTATGACTAGACAGAGTAGGATCCTTCTGGAGTAATATATTCTGGAGAAGGTAATCCAGATAGTGGATGTTGGTGGAGGAAATTTCATTATGAAGGGCCTAAGCCAAATGCCAGGCTTAGGGGTTCAGATCTGGTTGAAGTCATTATGTGGGGGTTTGAAACATGTTGGAATGTAATTAAGAGAAGGAACTAATACTGGGGGAAGTCTCCTGCCACACAAATATAGGAAAAGAGGTAATGATTTAGTCAAAGAGTATAGAGGTAAGGTACTTACCTTGGATGCACCTGACACTGGCTTAGTTGCGGCATTGCATATGGTCCCCCAAACACTGCCAGGTATGGCCCAACCTCCCCCAACCTTTTGGCCAAAAAATAGTCATATTTTCATTCATCTGCTTGATATAATATTAGTACCTATTGTTTCCCATTGGCAAATAGCAACTTTATAGCAGGTTTCTATATTTTATTGAGACAAATTGTATTTCATCGAATCTAAAATACACATTCATATTTTACTGTCACTGAAATTGGGTTGTCTTCTAATCACAGGTGTGTCATAGTTGAGCAGAATTTTTATTCTGAGTTGATAATGGTACATCTTACTGCTGGATAATTTAGATTTGATAAAATTTGTTAATCATACCCTTGATGAATATACACTGCTTTGCACTTCATAACACATTTCCCCATCAGATATTCCATTTGAATATTTAAAAAACAACAACAACAACAACCTGGTGACAGTCTCATTTTCATTTAACTCTTACCCAAGTTACATAGATAATTAGAAATGTGCTCAAAATGATAATTCAGAAAGAACTTTATGGCTATTGGTGTTAATATATGACATGGAGCTTTTGAGGAACAGGGAAGAATCAGATTGAATTTGAGTGCAAAATTACTGTTTAAGATCCTAGGAAGTTGAGACTAAAGACATAGTTCAAGGGGCTAGAGCAATAGCACAGTGGGTAGGGCATTTGCCTCACAGGTGGCCGACCCAGGTTCAATCCCCGGCATCCCATATGGTCCCCCAGCATCTCCAGGAGTAATTCTTGAGTGAAGAGCCAGGAGTAACCCCTGAACATCACTGGATGTGATCTAAAAAGTAAAAAAAAAAAAAAAAGACATAGCTTAAAAGGCTGAGGGCATGCAGGATACGTGGCTTCAATCCCTGACACTCCATGGTCCCCTGAGCACCACTGAGGGATACTGGAGCACTCCTGGGTGTGGCTTCAAACCAATCAACCAAACAAAAGATCCTGTATGGTTGATAGATTTTTGTCAAGAGCAGAGTGTAATTTATGAACTTTGGGAAGCCTCCTTAGGCCAGAAATGTGCTGCAATAAATAAGAACAATGGACAGGGAGGTAGAAGACTCCAAGAAACATGGTCAAACTAAAGGATGAAATCTGGAACTGTGTTTGCTCAGAAAATTGAAATGCGATGTATAAAACTAAAGTTCTGGAGCCTACTGTGATCCACGAACTGCTTAACATCAGGGATATAAAGACATGGGCCCGCTCGAGCAAATCGATGAACAACAGGAGGACAGTGACAGTGATTCTTTGAGGGCTCTTATGTGTGTTCTGGGAGAAGGTTAAGCGGAGGGAGAAACTGTATAGAGTTCATTTTTGACTGATATTCACTAAGAAATGTTTGTTTCAAGAAAGTTCCCAGGGAAGGAGTAGTTATCTGAAGGGAACCTTACATAGAACCACTCTCCTAGTGGAAGAAACTTGGATGGTCGATGGAACCACGCTTGGACAGAAAAGTGCTTGCCCAAAGGGAGGACGAATGGTTGAGGCTCAGCATTTTTCTGTGGCTTGGGCAGAGTTCCTCCCAAGTAGGCATCTGGGGATAACTGGGATAATGGTTCCATGCAAGTATGTGGTATAGTTTGTTCAGGTCCTTCAGGACTAGGGACCACCAGGGTCCTCAGATATTGCTTTTGTGATGCTTGGGAGGTCATGTAATGCTCAGGGTCAGCCTCTTGCACTATCTTCCCTACTCTGAAACTGTTTGTTTTTATTTTTTTATTTTATTTTTTGGCCACACCCAGGCTACTCCTGACTTTGAGCTCAGTGATTGCTCTTGGCGGGGTTCAAAGGAACCATATGAGATGACAGGGATTAAACCAGACAGAACACATGCAAAGTAAGCACCCGACCCTCTATATTATCACTCCAGCACACCCTAACCCTATTCCTACTCTTGGCTTAGTTTTGAATGAATCCAATGAAGGTGACTGGGAAATGACAAAAGTAGAGGACATTTATATATATATATATGTATATATATATATATTTAATTTATCCTCTAGGCTCTTGGTGCTCATTAAGTGCTCTCTAGAAATGCACATGAGAACAAGACTGTCAGTGTCTCTGGAATCATTTCTAGGATTAGGTATTTGATGGTACTGCAGGAAGCATAGTGACATATCCTTGATTGAGTGAACCTAAGTCTTTGTCCCTGGGCATTATACAGGGAGGTGTTTTTCTAGTTCAGTGGGGGTGGACCTTGGAGTCTGACTTTGTAGGGTTGTGTTCTGTTGGAGAAATAAAGGTGAGGACAGAGGAGGTCAAGTATGCGCTACACCCAAGAAAATACTACTAGCTGAGCGGAAAACTTTGAGCTTGCTGTGTCTGAGGCAGAGAGGAGGGCAAAGGATGAAGGGAAGATGCAAGAATGAGAAAGTACTGTGTGGGTCACTAGCAGCACTGAAGGCTGGGGGAAATGATCAGGAAATTCCCAAATGCCGCTTCCAGAAATGAGGAGACACCTATAGAATTCCCCTTTCTTGACTTTCTACAAGTTGGATATGGTGAGTGACAAAAGACTAAATGAGATTCATCTTGGAAGTAGGTCAACTGTAGAATTGAGAAAGAAATGTTTATCTCCTTCCTTCCTTCCTTCCTTCCTTCCTTCCTTCCTTCCTTCCTTCCTTCCTTCCTTTCGTTTTTTTGTTTCTTTGGCTGTGCTCAGGGCTTACTGTGACTCTGTGCTCTAGGATCATCCCTGGTGGGCATGGCGGACCATATAGGGTGCCAGGGATAGAACCTTGTCTTGAGTGCAAGACAAGCCCCCTACCCAATGTATCTTCTATTCCCTCTTTAGATTTTTTTTTTTTTTGCTTTTTGGGTCACACCCGGCGATGCTCAGGGATTACTCCTGGCTCTGCACACAGCAATTACTCATGGCAGTGCTCAGGAGACCAT